GCGAAAAGAAAAAAAGCACGAGAAAAACATTGCTTTACAAACCTTGAGACTTAATATAAAAAAAAAAAATAGATATTTTGCATATGAAAGCATTGTAATATTTACTGATAATGTGCCAAATTTCGTTAACATTCACTTACTAAATTAAAAAGACTTAATAAATAAAAAAAATGATATTTTGCATATGAAAGCATTGTAATATTTACTGATAATGTGCCAAATTTCGTTAACATTCACTTACTAAATTAAAAGTTATAGCATGAAAACTATATCAAGCACAAAATGGTTGAGTTCGGTCCCAGGGACCAAGCCCATGCTGATAGAGTTAAGAAATTAATTAATGTATAATACTGAAATTTGAATTATAATCTACAAGGTGATACCAAACTTGTTGACATACATTCATAAAATAGAAGTTCAATAAAATTTTGAATGCAAGTCAACAAGTGTGATGACATCGCCTTTGACCCATGACCTGTGTCAGTAGGGTTAAACATTTTCTTAAGAACAAAATTGAATCATTTTTATTTTCATCAAAACAGGGATTAGTTGAGAATTTTGTGAAATAATAGGATTGTACATGTTGGTAAAATGTAATGCTGTATAAACTTTACATGTGAAAAATTCTAATTTAAATTTATTACATTGAAAGTGAATCAGTAACATGAAGCTGAACCTTGGTCACTTTTGATGGACCAGTTGGAAGTATTTTTGGAACTTATTGATTGTTTATTATTGTTTAAATAAAACAAATTCCAAAGAATATTTAAACATTTGTAAATTTCAGCCTATTCTCAGTACTAGGTTTAAAGTGATTAAAAAGAACTATGTTGCAAAGTGTAAGGTTTCATATGTTTATATAAGCTGTTGTTTTCCTATAAAGATAAAACTAGAGAGTACAAATCAACAGGATAAACAAGATAGAGAAAGCTCTTCCAGTTCTGATGGAGAAAGTGAGAAGAAACTAACTTCAAGAAAACTGTCATTCACTTCTGAAGATAAAGTTGGGGTGAGTCAGACATCTAACATAATACTACCTCTGAAACTTATGGCCAGATGAATAAAAAAAGACATTCTTAAGTGAACAGAATGTTTCTTTCTGATGTTTTCAGGACAAGCATGAACAAAATATATTAAGAAACTCACTTACTAACATGATCTTTGTAATAACTGATCTTCTTATGTTCATCATGTTACTGTTTGAACAGTGAATCATTTGGCCAGTTTAGTTACCTTATCACTCTTTAAATATTACCATGGGTGTTATTAGATATTTAAAACTTGGAAAGTTAAATAATTTGGCAACAGAAATTTTAAATTTTTATTCGCTGCAACCAAATTTCAGTGGTTTTAGTCACATCTGATTATAGTGTTTCTCAGCAAATTTTTTTCCTCTTCATCTTTATGTTTTTAGGCATATGAAATTCCTTTAATATAATGCATGTTAGCATCAACAAAATGCAAGGATGGTATTTCATTGTGATATGAAGATAAGAGTATTGTTTATTATCATCACATAAAACATTTTTAATATCAATATTAGGGTTATGCTGATTTCAAAGTATTACAAGTACTTTGATTATGGCTCAGCCATAGTGATAAAAGGGAATAACTGACCACAGTGCATCTATTCAATAAGTTTCATATACCCTGAAAAATGACACAAAACTGATGTTAAAATACAATAATCAGTATAATTAGTTTTAACTTTTTTAAAGAAGCTCTCATGGTTATTTAAATTGATGTTTTTACGTTTAGTTATTTCCATGTAAAATTTTGGTTTCATGTTTGTTTGTGTCTTAATAAACCCATAAATAATGGGCATTGATAATTTTAGCTTGTTTTTGGAAGTTGAAAAGGATTTTGCATTTTACAAGAACAAATAATAAAACTTCTGTTGCCAAATAGTTTTACTTTTTCTTTTAAAATCTACAAAATGATTGAAGCTCTTAGGTTAAAAAGGAATTATGATTCTTATTATTCATTTATCAATATACTTCTTGTTTTTCTCATAATTATGGTAAATCTTTATTGATTGATCAAGATATTGTCCTTTCTGTGTGATGACAGACCTCAGAAAATTACAAGAGTACATTTGTAAATCAATTCTTGGTTTAAATATTCATTCAGTATTTGATTAGCTTTTCAGTGGGACTCAAGCTAGCTAGTAAATTATTGAAAGATTAGTGAAGTCTGGTTCTGATTAATCTGTGATATCTTCTTAAGTGGAATACTTATTATTTTATATAGATATATATATAAGTAAAAACATAATAAGTGTATGTCTGTGATATGTTTTGTTTGTTTTTTTGTCTACTTTACTTTTCTTCTCATTTTTTTAATATACAACTATCTGTTTGTTAATATTTCTGAAAAAATTGCACCATTATATAGTGATGAGCTCGTTTCTTGTAATAAAGTTGCTTTTGAGAAACTGATTGTCTGCTAATTTCTTAGATACTATGGAGTAGTTGCATGCTTTCTCTAAATTGCTTTAGGATCTAGCCTGTTTCTTTTAAGCAGTAGCTAAATATATTATCAGGCAGTCTCTAGTAATGAGCTTTTTTCTTTAATCGCAGTTGCATTTTGCATGGCTTTAATTGTATTACTTAGTGTGAGTTCAGTAAGATAATTTTTCTTCTGTTTCTCATTATTATCGATCCACAGCATGACCTTGTCGGTGCTTTTTTCAACTTTTTTTTAATGTCCTTTATTTCAGTGGCTCTGTTAGCTTTTTTGAAGCTTAACATTTAACTGAAAGTTCTAAAACTTATTCATAATAAGAATTAAATAATTAAACATTTCATAAAATTTTAACTTGCAGGAAGAAATTTCTGGTCCTTCACTTCCCAAGCGCAAAAGCATGTTCTCAGATCAGTACAAACACAGATGTGCAGAATTGAAGAAGCAAGCCACTCAAGCCCATGTCAGATCCTGTGCTAAATATCCTCTTAGTATCAAAAGTAGCCAGAAGTTATCCAGTAGTAAATCTGCTTTGAAAGCATCTTGCCAATCCATGAAGCAACCCAACCCAGATATTCATCCTCGATCTCCACGCTCAGTGTCAGGAGTAGCAACTAAAAAACATGGTGAAACTGCTAGGGAGCGTCTTGTGAGGAGTTTGAAAGGGTTAAAGAAGAATTCTGAGTTTCGTCGGCATACAATTATGAAAATGAAACCCCGGCCCCTAGACAATATTAATGTTAGTAGTAGCAGTAAGCAAGATTCTCCACAGAGTCCTAGAGAGTTTGATAAGTGTGAAGTGAAGGTTGAAAAAGTGGACAGTGATTCTGCTCCTAAGCGGCCCAAAGCTTTAACCAGTCTCCAGGATGATGGCCAAGCAGAACAAAGAGGAACCAAAAGATTGGTTGAAGACAGTGACCAATCCAAGATTGAGCAGACTCAAGGAGAAAGAACCTTACCACCTCATGCACCAAGAATTACAATGACCTTAAGAAACAAACCAAATCTGCGAAAACCTAAATATGTAGTGAGGCCAGCACCTCTTTTAGAGAACTTGATTGAAACCAGAAAAATTTTAAAAAATGGTTCCAATAACTTGGCATTGAAGAAAGATGTGATGTTACCAGTGTTTCATTACTTGTCTGCAGGAGATTTATTTACTTGTCAGTTGGTGTGTAAAACTTGGAACCGATGGACAGTGGATCCTAGTCTCTGGACTTACATGGATTTTAGCCGCAAGAAAATAACTGCAAACATTCTAATGGGAATTGTTCGAAGACAGCCTGTCTCTCTAAATCTGAGCTGGACCAACATATCTCGACGCCAGCTGTCATGGCTGATAGCTAGGTTACCACAACTAAAGATTTTGGTTCTTAGTGGCTGTTCTGCAGCAGCTGTGTCATCTCTATGTACATGTTACTGTCCTTTGCTTTCTTCTCTCGACATCAGTTGGGTGGAAGGACTGACTGATTCCTTTATTCGAGAGCTACTTTCTAGCCCTTCTGATTCTCGTCCAGGCTTTGTTGAAGCAAAAACCCGTCTTCGACAGCTGCAAGAAATACGGGTATCTGGAGCAGATATATCTGATGTTTCTGTGAGGCTTTTGGCACATCATCTCTCTCTCTTGTCCCGTCTAGACCTGAGTCATTGCCACAAGGTGACAGACATGGGAATAGCTGTTCTGGGTGCTGCCAAATCAAACAGGTTAACAGCACTAGATGTCTCCTCCTGTGCAAACATTTCTAATACCAGCTTGGAAGCTCTAAGACGTTGTACTAATCTCTCATACCTGGATATGCGAGAGTGTCCTCAAGTTACTGAGGCTGCTTGTCAGAAATTTGTAGCCCAAAGTCGGCAGAAGCTCACAACAAGGGGAGAAAAACTGATTAAAAAGCATTGGTGATCCAGTGCTGTCTGTCATTGTCATTTCTTTTGAATTTCAGATAGTTAAATATTTTACTTTCTTTTCATTATAGTTTCAGACATTTTTCATGTATACAGATTTATTTTTTCATGTTTATGCTTTTGAGATGTTTCTGTGTGCTCATGTATATAGACACACACACATACACATGTATATCTTTCTTGGTCTCTCTATCTCATAATTGTTTAAACCATAAAAAAGCCTGAATATGTACAGAAGTTAAGTTATGTTAGTTTTTAGGCCTTTTTCTCAGGTTAGCATATTTGTTATTTTTCACTGTCTACAAATCACTATATCTACACATTTTTTTGATTCCTCACGTGACCTTTTAATGCCTCAAGGTTTAAATTGTGATTTGGGGATTTTTCATCCAGAATTATTTTATACTTACTCTTATAGATGATGTTCACAATAAAACTCCAAAAACTTGCATAGCTGAGTGAATCCACTTGAAAGAAATTATCATTGCCTTGATAACTTAAAATTTTGTACAATATTTGTTATTTCAGTGTTCTCCATAATTCACAGACTAATGCTTAATTGATTTTTTTAGAAACATGTAATGCTTAAAAACAACTGTATTTAGTATCTTATTTTTTGTTGTTAATCAAAAAGGAGAACACTATCATTTTTAGAGAGCAAGTATTACATTGATTTTTATTTCAGTATTATTTCTAAGTATAACCAGATGTTCTGATGAGATAGGTAATAATGTACAAGAATATTTTGTTGTTTTAAAATACAAAAAATGCTCATCATACTAGATTTTTTTGGGTGTGTTAGATTTTGAAACATTACAGGACAAGTAACTGTCGTACATATTTTCACTCACCAGGCAAATGTAAAGCGAACGCTGAAGGTTAGATTACAGATTCATAACTTTGTAAAAAATTTATTGTATCGTATAATCATTGTTCTGATATGTTACTCTAACAACCAGATTACTTACTGGTGGAGTCACTGGCATTTCTTGCATTCATAATGTACAGTAAAACCATAAGGCTTTGGTTTTAATAAATTATCCACAAGGACTTTTTAAAACAGATTTGGCTTAGGTTCTCTGTTTGTAACTGTAAATAAAATTAATTCAATATGTTTATCTGAATACACACAGTAACTTTTGTTGTATAGGTAAGATTTGCGATTTTCACTCATGAGTAATTTTGTTTTTCTTTTTAATCAAGAATGTAGAAATTATATCCTGTTGCTTTTCTCATCACAATTGTCATAAATAATTGTGCTTAATATTTTTTAAAAGAAGAATGATGCTTATTGTAATTATTATTTTCTTATGAGTTGAGGGGATGGAGTATTTCTCACATCAAAACATGTCAGACTGCTCTTTCAGAAAAAACAACAACAAAGTAAACATGCAAATGAATATTAAAACTCACAGTTAACTTGTAATTATTCACATTATGATAGTTTAAATGTTAGTACCTGTATGTTATTGGTGTTTAGGTCAAGATAATTTCACCATCATTGTTCATTACCTTTGATCCTCTTATTAGTTTTAAACTTAAGTCCCAGCCAGTCTACTGATGCTGCCCATTCAAGACCATCTCTTTTTTTTCAGGATGTTTTAATGCAGTTTAAAGTTATGTCAAAACTATCCTTTATTTCTGGTCTTGACTTCTGCAGGGACAATGATGCTGCTTTCTTTAGTGGCTGAGACACACTTTGTTGGCCGTGTAGTCCTTTTAGTAAATTCTGCATTGCCACCAATGATGTCACATTAAAAGGGATTCTAAAGTTGTACAGCAATAATATAAAAATATAAGCTACGTAATGATAAAGAAAATATAAAATAAACTGCCTAGTGTTATGATTAAGACACACTGAACCTTGTATGCTACTGAAATTAATTTTTATATAAGTACAAATATCACTTGGGCAAAATGGCTTGGACAACTTGCATATAATAGTAGTAGTGCTTATTGCATATTTTAATACAATAATTACTAAATGCATTTGAAAAAGCTTAAGGCCAAAACTCGGAAATATAAAATGTGTTTCAAAACCATAATTTTTAAGACTTTCATAAGTAAAATGTAAGATAAAACAGCTTTAATGTGGTTAAAATTTTATTTAAAAAAGCAGTGCTTTTTGATCACATTGCTAGCTTCAGATATAAACATTAAAGTAAAGATATCAAAAAATAAACAGGATAAAATCTTACCTGACATGCACTGGGTTTCCAAATTTATGTTCAAAATAAATATAAATTAAGATCAGCATTATAATTAATTTTTGTTTTTTTTATTATTAAAGTTTATTTTATTAACTTTACTGTATATGATTTTTAAATTATTTAATTTAAACTGGCGTTTGTTATGTTTGCAATTCTCATGTGTTCTGGTGTGAATTCTGCTGTTTAGGTTACATCCCATTCACCATGTAAAAATTATCATAAATCTTTACAGTTATATTTGTTAACAGTTCCATGATTGTATGGATCTGTACAAACTTTCATTAATACCTGCTTAATTATTTTTACCTGGTTTTTGTAAAAAAATATAACTGTCATAAACTGCTTTGGTACTGTAACCATACTAGAACGACCGCCATTAATGGAACTGTATGGTGTACCTTCTCTTGTCCACATTTGAATATGACAGTGTGCCATCCAGGTATGTATATATAGATGTCATATGTCACCAGCAACTGTAATTACCACCAGAAAAAACTTCAAGCTTGTCGGTTACCCATATACCATGATGGCAGAAGGATCTCAAGCGAATGTGCTTGGCTACCTCCCAGGAGATAAGCGATACTCTCTGGGGCACCAGTGATGGTGACAAATTATCCATTGTGTACATACTAACACCACAAGTCAAAAGTGATTTTGACTATAATATGTAAGAAACACCTGCACAATCTTCAAACACAAGTGATGAGAGTGATAGCGAAGTTGTTCAACCCCCAGCCCTCCACCTTCTGTTCATAAGACCCCCTATGGTGTCCACCAAGGCTCCCACCACAACCACCATGCTTTGTATGGTCAAGTGCCGAACAATTTATCCCCAAAGTGGCTTGCTTTGTCGAGTCCAATATTGGTATAAGAGAGGACTGTTGAAATTTGTGAATACAAGTATCTCCAGCTGTTCTTTGATAGCATGTTAATGAACTACATTGTGAGCAAAACAAACAAATATTACGCTTACTGTACTAATGATGCTGAATCTAGGATAAAGTGGAAAGACACGTGCATTGATGAAATGTGTATTTTTCCAGCATTAGTGTTGTTGATGCCATATGTGAAGAAGCATTTGATCAAAGATTACTGGTCAACACACCCTCTGATCGATACAGTTATATTTGGTAAACATAAAAACAGAGATTGCTTTTTGTTACTTCTAAGATACACTTTGCAGACATTGATAATGTTGATATAAGAAACAAGATATGTAAAGCATATGTTTACTTACTTGAAGAACAAATTTTCTGCAGTGTTCAACCCTATTCAAAAGCTGGTCATTCATGAATCTCTGCTTTTCAATGGATGTCTGGGCTTCAAACAGTAAATCCCATCAAAAAGACACAGATTTGGAATAGAGGTCTTTGTATGGTGTAATTGTATAAGACATGACTGTAAATTCTCGGAATGATACAGACATTGAACATAGTGATCCCTTCAGAATTTCTAGTGCAGTGGTGAAAAAAAGTGAATAAATATTTGGGAAAAGGACATGTTTTGTATACAGAAAACTGGTTTAATAAGCCCAGAATTGTATAAATATTCAATGAAAAATGACACTGGGGAATGTGGTACAGTTGGGTCTAAAAGGAAACATATGCCAGTTTTTCCTGCAAAACTAAAGCCAGGTGAATGTCATATCAATCATACAAACAATATTATGGCTCTGAGGTGGCATGATAAACATGATGTTTGCATGCTTTCAACTGTACACATTGGAAGCATGGTTTATAGTGGAAAGGAAGACTATCATAAACATGAGAAGATAAGGAAACTGGATGCAGTAATAGATTATATTCAAAACGTATGTTTGGTGGACAAAGCAGTCATGTAGATAGGATCAATTGAATGTATCAGGAAATTGCCAGTGATATAAGAAACTATTTTTCCACATGGTTTATATTGTCATGCTGAACTTCTACAATGTTTAATTGGTGAAAACTGTTAAGAAACAACTCAAAGACTTTGTCTGGGCTGTAGTGTACCAGCTGTTGGAAAAGTATGGTGTCATGACTACTCATTCATGTATTAGCCATGTAAGTATGACACCAAGTACATCAGATTTTCCTGACAGACTCACAGCCAGGTACTTTATTGAAACTTTGCCACTACCAGAAAAAAGTTTGACGTTCCCAAAGAAGGGAATCAAAGAGAAAAAGACTGTGATGTGGTATTGTGCATTGAAAACTGTTTTAGAGAGTATCACACTTTAAAAATGTACCGACACATTCTGCAGTAAATATAATAGTATTTGAAAATCGTTCAGTGTGATATTAACAGTTTGCTATTGTGCATGGTGAAACATTCTACAATATTTTTCTGTATACGTTGTGACAATGTTGGGGTTGTAGAAGATTGTGGAGAGATAAAGGGGACAAACGTCTTGTGAGGAAGTGAGCTTCTACCAGTTCATGGATGTAGAGGGAGAAGGAATGCGAACAGAGCCATCAAGCAGGCACTTGCCCTTATCTCAAGCTGCCTGCTTCAATCTCAAATGATTTTTATATTACCAGGAAAGGTTAGTTTGTCTGTTTTTCAGCATTTATTATTACCTGATGTGATTAATAATTTATTTTGATTTTCCTCAGTGTTTCATGCCCCACCTAATTTTCCTGGTCCAGTACACAAATGGTTAATTTTCTGGTTTTTGAAACTTGTCTCCAAATTGTAATATGTTCAGTAACATACCCATACATTAGTAAAACTCCTATTAGATTGTTTACATTCATAGATTTTTCTTTAATAATTTTATATTCATATATATATATATTTGTAGTTATTTTTAAATTTCTTTTTTAATGTTTTTCCTTATTTCTGGGTTCAGAAGATATCAAATGTTTTCCTAAAATTTTAGAAATAACCTTTCTCTTTATCTAGATTAATTTGCTACATAAGTGGAAGACTATTTAGGTACAACAGGTGTACCAGTCTTTCATTATACTGAGTGGTTTGATTCCCAATTTATTAATTGTTGTTTAGGCATGATTTGCAACATAAATTAACGTTAAAAGCCATCCTAATTTCTGTTTATTTTCTAAAAAATTTGTTTTAAATTTTACTTTTCATCTGTGTCATACTTTGATGGATAGTATTTATATACAATTTAAAAGTGTCTGATAATCACCAAACATGTCACTGATGTATAGCCAATTCTATAACTCATTATTGTATGTTAATCATGTACAATTTACAAAGTCCTGGAAATAATGGACTTCCACTTAGAAAATGAAAGGATATTTATAAGGCCATTGAGGAAAATTTCTTAGTATTTCTAGTTTTTGAATTTTTAAGTTATTAATTCTAATCCTAGATTAACTGTCTCATGCTTTGGAGTTGTGGTGGACATTGATACATCAAAACTTCATTGTTTTTGGTGTATGATCTAAGCTTGTTTTATTCAAGTCTATAGAGTTTAAGCAGGTACTTCTTATTCTACAAGATATTTACATTTCGATTTAAATTTTCATTGTTTTTAGGGAATTTTAGAAAATATATTTTAACATTATTTACCCTGGAATATTTTATTGACTTTCTCATCAGATGTCTTTTCTTTTACTATTTTGATTGGGTCTTTAGCCATTTTTATTTCTCCTTTTATTTTCAGTATATGTACGACTTGTTGGACACATCACCTGGTTATATGTTTTAGTCTTGTTGTAATCTCCATTTAGAATATTATTTGCTTCACTTTGAGGCATTTATTTGAAATTTTTGCTTGAATAGCTTTTAACAGAATATTTTATAAATTAACTGTGTCAAAATTATTTATTTATCATTTGCCTTGAGTGATGAAAGAAGATGGAAAAAGGAATTTCAAAATTATAACCACAAAAACATGCATGGACATAAAAGTATTAAGGAAACATCTAAACAGTCTATTTGGAGTTTTACCAACATAATATTATAATTTAGAGAAAGGTTGAAAAATAAATGTTTAATAAAAGTTTTATTTGTACAAATCTCTGTAATCATGAAACTGTTTACAAATATAATTGAATTATAATGCTGGTGTTAACTTATATTTAAAGGTATTATCTTACTTACATTTAATGTTTGTACCTGAAGATAATTATGTGGTTTAAATGTTGTACTGGCTTTTTAATAAGAAGTTTATCCTCTTTAAAGCATTTTATTCTACATTTTAATTTACTTTCACGGTGGGATCCTATCCAGTATTATATGGTTTAGTAATAATTTTGAGTACATGCATAGGTTCTAGTTACAAAAGTAACACCTAATTTGTTTTATAAAGTTGAGCAGTGTAATAAAATAAGTCATCCAAATCAAGAACCAACAACAAAAGTATAGAAGGGAAGTGCAACATAAGTAAAAAAAAATTACAAGTTTAAAAACTTCCCTAATGTTTCTCTCATGGTCATGTTTTGTCCATCTTAACCTTTAATTATTGTTTTTTGTAAGAAATAAAAAACAAACCATTTACTTCTCTAAAAAAAGCAATGGGAAATAAAATGTTTTTTGTCTTAGCAAATTAATTTTGAGTAGACAGGAATGACCCTTTTGTTTTCCAGGCAAAAAGAAAAATATTTTCTCTATGTCATTAAATATTACAAATGTGTTCAAAGATCTCCAGTCAGTAAAGCATATTTTTTAAATCCAAATATTTTCAGGTGTTAATTGGCTATCAGAATACAGACTCAAATTTTTTTATTATCTACATTTATATCTTTCACTGTTATCTGATTACAATCACTGACTAAAATTGTTCCCATGTGAAAGTCATTCTTGTCACTCATTTTATAATTAGTATTTACTTTTGTTATTATAACAGAAAAGGATATCACACAGTAGCTTCCTTATTGTGGTATCAACATTGTTATGGTAACCTACTTTCTTTGAGTCACGCCTTCATATTCTAAAAGGAGATTTGCTCATATTTTAAAGCACTGTCGGTCTTATGTCACTAATCACAACAACAACTGTAACGGTGAGGGTAACTCAAGTACACTTTGGGTAACATTTTTGGCCACATATTAAAGATGCAACACCACAGCCAGCTGATGTTATTTTTTAAACTGACATGGTTTTACTGTGATGTTTATATAATATTTTCTTCTTCATAACTGTAAAGACATCATTTCACTTTTTGTTTCTTTTAACAGTAATAAGTGACATTTTGCTTAGTGCAATTACAATAATAATCACATTAATAGCAGCATCGTATTTTGTTGTATTCTGAACACTGATAATAATGAAAAACTATTATTTAAAGATCCCAGTTTGTACTGTGGTGGAGGGCAACTTTTTATAAAAACTGATTTGATTGTATGGCAAATCTTTCCCCTTATTACACTAAATATTTGGGAGATGCATATAAATGGAACTTGAGATAATAATGTCAACCCTATCCACTCGAAGTGATGGGTAAAGGTGAATAACACTTCACACCATAGTAGTCCTTTAGCTTTACTCAAAGTTACAATCAGTGATAAAAGACAATGGAAATATTTGGTTAATAAAAAAAAAAAGATTTATAAACTGTTTTTATTTTACCAAGCTTCAGTATTTGACAAGACAAAAAAAAAGGACTTACCATGGACAGAAAATAATTTTATGTACCACTGTTAACAGTGATATAAAATTACATACAAAGCCCTTATGTATTTTGGTTAGAAATATTTACACATTTTCAAACAACAATTGTAAATATTAACTTTGTGTCAATATTCCCATCCTCCTGGTGATGTTATTCTCACTAAACTGAATTCCGCTTTCTTGATAGTTGGGACAATAGTTTTACAACCTACTCAGTATTTGACATAATAAAAACAAGAACTTCAGCATAACCCACTTTGAAGTATAAGAGACAGTCAAGAATGCTGAGAGAAGAGTGTGTATTTGAGCTTGCTTTAGTATATATATATAATTTTTATTAAGGTGGAACAAAGATGTTAAGATGCTTCATTTAGATGGAGCTTTTGAATGACAGGAAAACCCATGTTTCCTTAAACTTGTAATATTTTTCAAACACAGTCATCAAGTTGTTGCAGAGTACTTAAACAGCAGTGAAGGTAACATCTTTAGTTACAAATTAATCTTTCAACAGCACTCTATGTAATGCCTCATTAATAGGTGATCGGTGTTACATCTAGTAAACGACTGGCAAATGCTACAAAGCACTTCAACAGCAGTCATGTATTTTCTTGGAACAAGACTGGCGAGTGTAACAAAGCATTTCTGTAATGCCTCATTATTACAAGATCAATGAGTGAGTGTTATTCACGTATCAGTCTTCCAACAACTTTGGTGGGTGTAATATGTTATTTAATATGAAGCTTCAGACTATATATTTGTACAAAAAATTAATTTTATTACTAAATAATGGTGTGAAGGCTACTTAAAATTGTACCCCTCCTAAGTCAAACATGAAACTTAACATTTGTAGCAACAATAGAGGGCAATGAATTGTCTTTTAACTCTTTCACTTTGGGCAGGGCATAAGGTGCACGTTACAGAGTTTCAGTTATTTTCAGTATTTAATTAAACAACTTTATTATCAATGAGTGACAAAATAGTAAAAACAAAATGCTAAATATCCTTTTCCCATACAGTACTTCCCTTTCCTCACAGTGCTGCCCTCTATATGCAAATTGTTTCTTTAAGCATGCCACAACCCCCCCCCCCCCCCACTTGGAATCTAATGATTCCAACATGTCATAGTGTCTATAGTAGCTAATAAATTAGAATCTCAAATTTAAGACACTGACAATATATTTAGCAAACCTACCAGAGCAGCTCTTTCCACTGCTCCATTCTTTTGACACCTTTTGTCTACTTCTCTTAAGTACATGTTTATAACTAACAGAAAGAGCACATTTCAAACTACATAAATCTGAAAGTTGTTTACTATAGACTTAAAAGGGAAAGCTGCAGTTTTACTGGAAATTTTTAAGTCATTGCTCTGAACAGAAATGGATGAGATTGTTTTTAAACCCATATATAACTTAGTTAGAAAGCTAGCTAAATTATGGTGATTTTATGTGTACCAGTATAGTAATTTGACCATATTTTGGTTTTCTAAAATGCATCTTTGAAATCTACAAAAATAATTTGCCTTCCCCCTCCACTTGAGAGACTAAATAAGGCTTAGCTAGTACGCATGAGTGCAAATCAATTTCCAAACACTGTAAGTACGAGAAGTAATTTATTGGTTGTTCTATATTTTAAGAGAAACAATAATATATATGCATGTCAGTAGTGTAGGAAGGAGTTGCAAAAAAAAGGGGTGCTTGGCTAGACATGTATATAACTTACAGTTGCTATACAAGTCAAATACGTAAACGTGGGGTGCTACTGACGCCTCTGCATGTTATAAGTGTTTACATACTTTTTACACCTATACCAGTAAATTTCAACCACCCTGAAAAGATAACTAACATCCAAATACCTACCAAGCTTATTGGATCAGCCCGAAATTTTGTACACAACCATATCATCTAAATTTTTTCACACTTTTATTACTTTACACAATTCTTCTTGCAACCACTGTACTGTAAACCAACCAATAAATCCACTCTCACTGTGTTCCCAGAGCCAGGATTTCAATAAACTGTGAGAATTGTCAGCTTATTGCATCACTCATGCTTATTTGCTATCTACAGTGTCACGTGAGCAGTGATTCATTGCTTTATGTTAAGGAGGTTTCTACTTCAGCTGCAAACATTAAAGTAAATAGGTTAGAAGTAGAAACTTATGGGAGAAGCACATTGGAACTTCATGGTTAATACTATAAAAGATAGAACAATACTACTAATTTTATTTAACATTTTTTAATGGCGATTAGAAGTTCAATCAAACTGACTGAATGCATATAGAGTTAGGGTAGAGAAAATAACAGATAAAGAACATTTAATATTTACTTATGAGGTTTTAGAGATTACATAAATAAAATTTAACAATTTTCAGAAGAAGCAGAATTTTTTTTTTAAATTAAAAATCACTTTGCACTCTTACTCCATACATTTTTGGTAAAAAATACCATATTTAAAATTTTTTATTCTTTTTTTTTAAAAAAAAAGGCTTGTAATGTTTACTAAAAGCTTAAAAAAATTTATAGAGATACATAAAATGTTGGAAGTTATAGTATAGAAACTGATGGTCACATGGTCGGCATAATCCACGAAGGCAGTATCAAAAGGGTTGAGACAGGCAAATCCCAATTAGAGTACTTAACAATATATTGCATTTATATTTATTACATTTCAAAATATTTACAAAATTTTCATTATAATGACAGAAAACACATCACTAATATCTTTATTGTGTTATTCTGGTTTTCATGTTACCGTACTCTATATTCCAATCTCTTAATAGGAACTTTCCATCACAAAGTCTTCAGCAAAAAATAAATTTCTGCAAGAGCAACAATTGAAGCCATTGTTATCCCAATCAGTACTTGCTGTGAAAAATAGATAAAACATGAACATCTGGAAACTTAAAATGCAAATTTTTATGCTATGATTAACCCCTTGATTATTAATTAAAACATTTAAAATGAAATAGTTCTTTCAGATTATCAAGACATCAGGTGAGTTGAATCCAATGAACACTATTAATAAATAAATGTAAGTGTGGCCATGAAATTGGCAAACAAAATACAACTGTATATACAATAAACTTATCATTTTTTATGTTATCAGATTTGGTTATACAAATTGCATAATCAAAGTTGCATGTTATATCATTATCTTTACATATGTAATATTTTGTTCAAACCAGTGATTTACTGATAGAATAAAAAATATACAACAAATAACTTTTCTTGTTTATTAACCTGAATTTGAAGGAATATTTATCCACTTTGCTGTAAAGAATGTCAGATACGGTTGTCTTGTCCACGAGAGCATTCTTTCCACACTGAAATGTCTACTGATGTTATCAGAGCTTGTATAAACAAACATTTTTTAATGATGCTGATACTTGTATGCTTCTTCATTATGGAACACTATGACTTTACATGACTAACTAAATCATTTTGATGACCTCTTGATATCTGTTATAGTTCATACATACATCCCTACTGTGAAGGTTGTTCTCAGAAAAATTGTCTTAAAACTGGTACACACTGCAAGTGAAGGTGTTAGTAATTATGTTCTGATCTACTTGGTTCTCATAGGGTCGTACAGATTACTGAATCACATAGCTATAGGAAATGCATGTTTGTGATAAGAAATGGCTGGATTATTGATTAAACTTTTGATTTTGAAGATCTGTCCTTTTGAAAAATCATCCAGATTGGAAATAATTGTTGATGTTGTGGATACATGAATACATTCTAGTGCAGTATAATAAAAATTAAAAAGTAATCATTACATTATTTGCTAGCTAGATACAACAGTCACAACTCTAGTACTTCATGGTACACAAACCAACTTAATAGCCAGATACCCCAACAGCTGGAATAGTCATAACTAGTACTTCAAGGCAGACAAAACTACCTTTGTTACCTAAATACCAACAGCAGGAACTGTCATAACCAGTAATTTACAGCACACAAACCAACTCAATAGATAGATATACCTATAATCAATAATTCAAGGCATGCAAACCAACTTCACTAACTGGATACCTCCAAAAACAGGAACACTCATCACCAGTAATTTAAGACAGACAAACCAAATTTACTAGCTAGTAGCCCAGTAGCAGGAACACTCGTAACCATTAAAGGCAAAAGTAAATTTTATAAAATTTCACTATGATTATTACCATAATTTATTGTGCCTTCAAACAGGAATTAGGTATCATGTGGGTTAGGCTTACAAGTACAATGGCACTTTCATAGTAGGTTTTTACATTAAAACAATTTAATTATTTAAGGTAACTGTTGACAGACTCGTCTGTGATATTGATGAGAAAAATACAGCTACAATATAAATTTTGAAAAGAAAAAAATCTGGGTTCAAATTTTTACCAAACTGGCCATTTTAATTTTATTATTATTATTTAAGTACTCAATACCTAGTTGCAAATGTTACTTACTACAGGAACTGCAGGTGATTCCAAAGAATACTCCACAGCCTTGTATCCAAAAACAAATGTCCCAGCTACACTAAGAACAAAGTTGAGTACACCCATCACTTGAGCTTGTACAACTTTCACTAGAGAAACAGGGGAAAAAATTGTCAAATAAAAAAATGTACATTTTTTAAAGCAACCAAAATTAGAAACTAGGAACTGCTTCCTCTCAAAATACATGGCATACCGTATGCTATTTTGACAGATTAAAAAATATATTATAAAATCTTGTTCCTAAAACATAACCAAATAAAGTTTGTTTAAATGCAAAGCTATACAATAAGCTAATTGTGTTGTGGCCACCACAGAGATCAGGCTCCAAGTTTTAGTTTTATAAGTGATCAAGCTTAAATGTTGAGCTATTGGGAGACCCAAAAAAAAGAAAAAAAGTAATAATAATTAATAAAAATAGATTAACTCGCACATAATGACAGGAAGGTTGTTGTCGTATTTACTGTTGCACCTGTTAAAAGTACTTTTATGATTCTTTAAATCAAAATGTGCACAAGTCTGACAATGAGGACTGAGTTTACTGTTGATAAAGGTGTTAAATTTACAACCAGCCTAAACCCTGTTGGTTTGTTTAACTCTACTGACACGGGTCAAAGGCCATGACATCGAGTTTGTTGTCTCGCATTCAAAATTTTATGAATGTATGTCAATAAGTTTGGTATCAAACTGTAATTATAATTAGTTAATTTCTTACTTTAAATGTAAATTTAAAAAAACACCTAAATATAGATTTTTGTGTGTCACACTATATGTTGAATGCAGCATTGGTTCAAATTAGATGTTTCTGATGTCCAAATACAAAGTCTATAGTTTCTTACAAATTACCAATATTGATAAGCTGGAATATAAAATAACCTCCCATCTTTTCTATTTTCTGAGATATTAATATATTTATTGAATAAACCAAGGTGAGCCTGCCCACATCTTCAGTTTTTGAAAATACCTGCTTATGTATACCTACTTCGCCCAATAACATATGTATAACCAATCAAAAGCTCAAAATGTCCTCCTCAGCCTCTGCAAAATATTTGGGCAGTAAACTCTTTCTTTTCATACTAGATTCCAAGTGGTAAGGTAAGACATGAGTGAACTCAAAATTTCAAATTTTTTAGACCCATATACACCTTAGTTACTAAGCTTGATAAATTATAGTGGAATTCTTTGGTATTAACAAAGTAATTTATGAGTATGGTTATTTCTAAATGTATATATAAAACCTAAAAAAAATTATTTTGTTTCACATCATCCACGTGATAAATTTGATAAGGCTTAGCAACCTTTGGCATGCAGCAAATAAATACAAAGTTCATAACTAAAAGAGATAATTGTTTGGTATACTTCTTTATTTACTGTTCTATGTTTTAAGAAAAATAAGTTTAAGAACTTATTTGTAAATAGTAATAATGTATTTACATATATAATGCATTATAACTGAAATGTGACTGTATTATACTGGTCCACTAGAACACAACCAAGAAAGGTCACTTTGTAAAGGCCACCTTTATATTATTTGATACGGTAACATGAGTGCACATGAGCTGCGTCATTGCAACTTCTGTGATGTTAGCCAGGCATGGCTGAAAGTTAAATATATATATATATAGATGTATAATTTTA